AGCGGAGATTGGCAGAGCTGCACCGAGGCGCTTACTACCTACAACAAAGAAATCAGGAAAGCTAAACGTAACAACTTTAGAAAATTCTGCGAGGATCCTAACTCTACACCTGCGGTAGCGAGACTGCACAGGGCTCTGGCAAAAGGGAGAGTTGATACAGTTGACATTAAAGAAACCAAATAAAAGTTTCACGGAGAGTAAGGAGGAAAGAGCTTCGCCTCTTACTCGAAACACCTTTTTTAATAAGAGTTACAACTAAGGTAAGCAGGCCACCAAAAGAGGCCGCTGTAGTGGCCAAATACATATGCAGCAGAAATCGGTTAAAGTGGGCCGTAAACACTTTTGAACCGTTTTAGTCTACAGGTGTGGATAGAATATTTCTTGCCCTGCTTGAGCAGGCACAGGAGGAATTACTACCACACATAATCCGGCTATCCCGGAGCAATCTGGAGCTGGGATATATACCAGAAGCATGGAGAAGGGCCAGAGTTACCTTTATTCCAAAAGTAGGGAAAAAGGATACCACACATCCTAAATCCTTCCGACCAATCAGCCTCACATATTTTGTATTAAAAATAATGGAGAAGGCTGTTAATAATTATATCAGAACGGAAGTCCTGGAGAGGGTGCCACTCCACCACAACCAACACGCGTACCGAGCAAGAAGATATACAGAAACTGCCCTGGTACAGTTGACTGACGTAATCCAGGATGCACTGACAAATAAACGGTCGTGTGTGCCTTCCTAGACATAGAAGTAGCTTTTGACAACACGCCACACGAATCTGTAAAGAGAACACTTGCATACAGAGTAGTAGATAACATCACATCCAGATGGATGGCTCAGCTGTTATCTACGAGAACTGCAGAGACACAGATAGGGCAGGATACCATCTCCATCTGCGCAACCAGAGGATGTCCACAAGAAGTTCTATCCCCACTAATGTGGAGCCTAATCGTAGACGAACTTCTATGCAGATTGACTGACCTCGGCATACCCTGTCAAGGTTTTGCCGACGACATAGTCATATTTGCTAGTGGCAAGTTTAGTAATATCCTGTGTGATGTAGTCCAACGAGGACTAGAACATACCAAAAGATGGTGCCGTGAAGTGGGACTTAGTATAAACCCTACAAAAACACTAGTAGCCTTTTCAAGGAGAAGAAAACTTAATCTCAAAACCGTTAAATTAGACGGGATAGATATAGAATGGAAAAATGAAGTCAAATATCTAGGCCTAACCCTGGACAACAAACTTCTCTGGAACACACATGAAAAGGAAGTAGCAAATAAGGCCACAAAAGCCCTAATGTTATGCAAAAACATTGCAGGTAAACGATGGGGATGTAACCCAATCATACTGCGATGGATGTTTACTGCAATAGTGAGACCAATCATCACTTACGGGGCTATAGTCTGGAGTAACAGAACTAGTTTAGCTACTACGAGAGCTAATATTTTAAAAGTACAAAGATAAGCCTGTGTTTGTATTACTGGTGCAATGACAACCTGTCCTACAGCCGCAATGGAGGTGATCTTAAACCTCACCCCTCTACATTTAATGATAGAGAATGTGGTAAAAAGGACACGATATAGAATTATCAGGAACGGACTAATCAGACGAAAGTCTACTTGCTTCAGGACTAAAGATACCTGGGACATGCCCCAGGATGAAATGCTTAAGAAGTACAGTTTTGTGAAAAACTTCAAAACCACAGGGCTGGGCTGCAACAAAGAATGGAGCCAATAATCCATCGCGTTAACAACCGAAAGACGTGCTATTCAGTGGTATACGGACGATTCCAAAACCATAGAAGAAACTGGAATAGGAGTGTATGGGCCGAGAACCAAGCACTCTGCTTGGGAAAATACCCAAGCATCTTCCAGGCGGAAATTCACTCCATCGAGAAGTGTATCCAGTTTAACATCGAGAGAAACTATCATAAACAAGAGATTATCATCATGTCCAAAAGTCAAGTATCCATCAAAGTGTTGAGCCCTTACGTAATCAGCTCAAAAATGGTCTGGAGATGCCTAGAACAATTGAATGAGCTAGGCGAGAAAAATAGAGTTACTCTTACTTGGGTCCCGAGACATAACGGGGTACAGGGTAACGAGATTGCGGATAATCTCGCAAGGAAAGGGACTCAAACACCTTTTGTAGGACCTGAGCCGTTCTGCGGTATTAGCAGTAACTTATTATTAGGAGAGAATAAAAAAGAATTGGGCAGTGCAAGAACCCATAATTGGAACAATAACATTTTTGGATAGAGAATGAAGAGACCTTTCAAACGATAAATCACAACATATACTTCCCATTTAAAAAATTAGGGGTTTTAACTGATACTCAAAGGGGGTTGAAGGCAGAGATCACATTTTCACTTTAAAGAATGTCAATTTATAATTTAAATTCGACGTGTTTCGGGATTTTCTATAAATATGTACAGTAATCGAAATAATGAATTTATTCCATTTGGCTTTTCCACACTGTATATTGAGGGCTACATAAGTTTTAGCCCTTTTCTGTCTGCAGCTAGACAACAATATCAGTAAAAACATCACGAGTAACGTAAAATATGTTGAACGCCAGGCCGCACTGCTAGATTATAATTGAAACAACCGAAACAAAAGAAGCTGTATGAAAAAGTTATAAATAGACGTGGTATATAATATTTTTTTATAAAAAAAGTATTGTTAGATGACATAATACTTTTTAATTTTATATAAATTGGTGTCTCCTTGTACTAGGGGGCTGTAGCCCTACAGTTCTTGCAGAGAAACAACAAAATAAGCAATCTTTTATTTCCGTTAAAATTAAAGCCAATGAATCTTGTGTCAAAACTTTTAGAGCGTACAGTGTATCCGTATTCAACTATAATATTCCAATTTTCTGGACAAGCGAGTCTCGGATTCGGAATTAGCGGATGTGGTGAAAGCTCGTTGTCAGACATATTCGGACTATTCTCCAATCGAAAGATCTATTGAAGCGCCATCGGCACCAATAAATCACAGCTATACCGCTAAACCAATTAACCTAACGGCATTTCTGAATGCCCAAGAATTATCTATGAACTTGGTGGTCCGACTATATCGACGGCGGATGGCGATAAGCTAATGAGAAATGTCTGGATCCGAGTGTCTCTATTATATTATTGTGTTTTATTGTATCTGCGAAGTTAATTAATTAGTCTGAATGCGATCATAATTCGATGAACGCGGTTATATTGGGTGGCCACTTTTTAATTAAAATATAATGCTATTTTTGAAACTGTTACTGATTCGGGTTTAATTGAATGGGAAAAAGTTGTATATTTCGAAGCACAATCTGACTTTTAAAAACTAAAATATCAGAGCCGGTTTCAGGGATATACGAGGTGTGACAATTAAGTAATGAGACCGATTTTATTACCGCGCTTGTGATACACCTGCGACCTTGAAACTCCCTTTCCCCTACCCCGACATCCTTTCTCTTATCCTTGATATTTTTACCATCTCTCTAGTTTGTTTAGTTTGCCGGCTGTGTCGTGTTTGGTAGACGGGTGTTAGTGGTGCTCGTCATGAAAATGGAGAAGCAAAATCTAGAGCAACGCATCGCGATAAAATTTTGCGCCAGATTGGGCAAAACAGCTACGGAAACGTACACTAAAATCGTATGGTGATAGTGCTCTTCGTCGTGTTTTGATGGCATAAAGAGTTTAAGGAGGGGCGTGAAAGCATTGAAGAACAGGCGCGGAGCAGAAGACCAGTCGAGGTGCGGACTAA